CCTGCCTCGCGTCCTCCTTCAGAAATCGTCAGGCGATGGCAGGAGCGCCCGCCCTGTGAAAGGGAAACGAGCGCTTCCCCGCCTTGCCGGGGCTGGAGCTGGGAAAACCTGTCGGTGCTCCACCGGGCTTGTTCTCCTGTCTCGGAGCGGGATACTCCTGTGATTTCGCCGCCCTTGACTTTGACAGTCGCTGCCCTCTTTTGCCGTCCCGTCTGCGGGACTTCCCTAAACTCCCCCGTAGTTCTCGGTGCCCTGGGCTGACAAGAGAACCCGTTGGATTCGTGGTGGCAAAACTCGCGCTTGGCCGCTCTGACGGATGTATTTTTCTCTGTGCAAAATAGCTGCGGGCTGTTGGGAGTTCTGTTTGCTAGTCTAAGTTTTGTCAAACAGCCATTCTTTGTGACTTTTTTATTTTTAAAGAGCAAAGCGTATGTGATTGTCTCCTTGCTATGTTACCTTTTTTTAAGTGCAGCCAGGTGGCAGTGAAACCATTGCTACACATTGCAGTCCGAATGTGAAAGACATTTTTAAGAATGTCCCAATTTGGGGTTTCTTTTATTGCTGTTCAGCACTTTCACTCTCAGTAGTATGCACTGTTAGAATGAGAATGGGTGTTTATCATAGACCCGTGTGAAAAAGCTGCTTGGAACATTTCACGAGTTCGGATACAAGCCATCCACAAATGGACGTTTATAAGAATTTAAGTTGTAGCAAATGAATATCTAATTATAAATGGTTATTTACGCAAGCAGAACTTTACAGAGGTCACAACCGCGTCCTGCATTATAGTGTAGAAAAGGACTAATTTTATGAACGGCCTGGCTGGGTGAGGCAGGCTGGGTTCTACGCTGTGTCTAAAAGACCACGAATAATGGATAGGAGGACTCATCCCAACATATTATCAAGGAGAAAGGCCTCAACTGAGTGACACTTTTTTCCCCAGATCTTTACAAGGGGAAAAAAAAAAACCCTATGCTTAAAGTCTGAGCAAGTTTGCCTTGGTCCTGGGAATGTGCTGTTTGCTCTGTAGATAGTCACTTGGTCAACATTCCTGCCTTCTTGATTGCCGATTAGCGCTGCTTTCCATTGGGCATTTCCTCCTGACTTTGAAAAACAATGGTGAGATAAACTGAAATTATCTGCCTTTTACCTAGACTGAGAGTAGGAGTGGAGGCTGCTTTGTTGTACACCGAAAGAAACATAGAGCTTCTTTCAGGGATAATAATCCGTAAAATTCTCCCCACTGAAGTTTTGGTGTTAGAATGAGCGTTTTTATTAGAAGAAAATTGTGGCTTTAAAAGAGACATTCCCCACCCCAGCCTCACTTAGAACAGCTGTCTCTCTCACAGTGATTAAGGTTTGTAATTTAAAAGGTTGCTGTGAGGGTGTCTATTTATAATTAAGCTCTATTTTTGATCATGTGGTTTGCCGTACAGCGTGGGGGGCTGTGGAGTTTTGCCATTGCTTTTTATTCTGTTCCAGAACAACCTTAGTGCTTTATTTTGTTCGAAACTGAATTTCCTCTGATGAAATTCCAGCAATGGCGTGACTGTGGGTTGTTGCTGTTGTTATTTGCGGAGAATGTGAGCTAAAAATTGCTACGTTTGTTTGTTGTCGCACTGGCACAGCTACGTTTTCCATTTTTCCTAGGAGAGTCAAGGCCAGGGTGAGGTGTTAGCTCAGCAGCACTGGCCACGCAAGTCCCGATGGGCTACACACCTGCCAAGGGGCCGTGCCAACCAGGCACCAGAGTGAAGGGATGTTTAAACTGGTCTGATGTATGCTGAGCCGCCCTGCTACAAACCCTTGATTTTCCTCACCTGTAACTTGAGGGCTGAGTCACTCATTTGGCAAACAGCCGCAGCACTTTAAGGGTTTATTTGCCCTTCTGACAAAAGTTACAATCCGGCAGCAGGGGACAGAGAGCAGGACCTCGGGAGTGATCCTCGGTCACTTCACTGGAGTCCGATGGCAGTCAAAGGACGTGAGGCAGCAGCTTGAGGGGGACCACTGAACAAGAGTGAGGTCCTGAGGTTGAGGAGGCTGAGCGTTACTCAAATGCTGTTCTCCCAGCTTTGCTGATAAGTCAGGGACCTCTGCCAGAGGGGAGGTGACAAACAGTTATGGGGAGTTAAATGAGTCAGTAACAGCTAAAACTCTGTAGCTGTTTGCTCCGTATCTACAACTTCAGTGCTAATTCGTGTTACCTGTTGCCATGTCTGTTACTTGTAAACTACTAATCGGTTGCTGAAACTGCTTTTGCCTTAAAGAAGATCTTGAGGTACCACGTGGAATCGTAGAAAAAGGGGGAAAAGACAAGGAATGTCCAGGTTTTCTGAGAATGAAGGGCAGCCTGTCGTATTTTGCCTAGCTAGGAAGGCTTTTGGTAGGACTTTTCAAAGACGTAATGAAAACTGCAGAGGTTTAAGACTGGCAAAATTTACTATGCAAGTGGCTGGAGCTTTGTACTTTGTGGTTATGATGATTAAGCGGAGAACCCCTTTGGGTGTGAAGTATGGTAGCGGCATGCTTTTTGCAGAATGTGGCTCGAGCAGTTGCAGCTGTTTATCTTCAGAATGTGATGCCTTTTTGGTTAGGTAGCTTTTCTACTTGCACTATTGGGTTGCTGATTTAAAAATAAAATTAACAAACAAACAATCCCCCCCCCAAACTAATCTCTGTTGGGGACTGAAAATCTAGTGAAAGGCACGTTGGAAGAATGCTGTTCTGGAGCCCTAGGTGGGGACACCTACCTATTACCATTCCTAAGCACTGTGCCCTAGGGGTATGTGATCAAGATGGGCTACTTGCCAGTGGCTGTAAAAAGATTTAAGGAAAATGTATTCTCTGAACTATGATGAAATGCCTTCTGCGATACCTGTTGGAGCTCCAGTAACACTAGGAGGGAAAGGTAAGATGCGCTGATGCGAGGAGCGGTAGTGGATCATTTTAACAGGCCCTTAGGCACAAGCTTAGCTGTGCAGGATGCCTGGATTTTTGAAGACGACTCAAAATATTCTTTGTTCTTGCTTCACAGCAACAGTATTTTCACACTTTAATATCCCTGGTCACTTAATCTATGCTTGCTTTTGTCGTGGCTGATCAAATCAACCCTAGATTATATAAACCTGCAGAGTTGGTAGTGTGATATAAGCTCAAAATGTGCTAGACAGCTTTAGAGCCATCTTTTTTCTAGAGATGTCAAGCTTGTAATTAGAATTCAGTTATTAACATGATGATTAAAATTCAGCAGTTGTTTTATGCATAATGTATGTAAAAGAGGAAGTGTCTGTTACAGAGTGGGAACAGAGGTAGGTGGACTAACAAAATTTTGCAATCGAAGTTGCAATTTAAAAGAGTCCGTAATTAGTATGCTTTCCAAATTGGTCGTACACACACTTCAGAAATCATGGTGAGGAACAAGAAATAGAAGCTCCTAGGAAACTGCTGTGTTGAAATTACTTGTGAATTTGTGGAAGTAACACTTTCAGGTAGTTAAGCACTGTTGCATCTAGAGTTTGTGCTGCTCGTTATAAATCCCATAACATTGTTGTGTGGATACATCTTCTAATTAATCACTGTAGTCTAAGCAAGGAGTTTTACAGTGATGTACTTAGTTTTTGATGGCTGTTCATTTAGAAGCATACCTCTTGGGATTTATTGTTGCAGTGCCCACAGGGATGTGTTTGCGAGAGAGAAGCGCGAATAGTGTTGAAAGTGCCATTGCTGGTTCATACTGTGCTCCTTCTCTTTTTGGATCTGCCTTGGTCCCCCACATCAGTTTGGGTCGACGTTGCCTGTAGATTAAGAATTACAGTACGTGGGAATATTTAGGAAACAATCCCCACTTGGGTACATAACTGAAGGGCTTAACGCAGGTGTGTAATTCCCCCAGGTCCTTCCATAGATCGTGATAACAAACACACTCACAGAAGGCCTAAGCGGAGCCTCCCTAAAAGCTCTTTTTCTTTCCGTTGACTGCCTGGGTACCGCATGCAGATTATACCTCTTTGGTGTCTGAAGTGAGGTGGAAAGGGTGGTGGCCATTGCAATTCTACAAAGGTGGAAGGACCTGACAGCATGTAACAAGCTCCTGTATCGCTGCTAACATCACTGTGCAGGATGAGAAGAATCTCCCTGTTTTGCAGGTGCAGAACGTGAGGTTTGGTTTGCTCAGAGCTGTGCAGGAAGCCTAGTGTATCTAGGAAACTCATATATCTGTGTCGTGCAGTTAAACTGCAAAATGATCCTTCAACCTGGTTGTAAATGTATAAGAAGGAGCGAAGGAAGAACATTATGAGAAAATATCAGTATTTCATCTCCTGCCTTTAATAGATGGAGAAAATAAAACATGGATTATTGAGCTACATTACCATGTTCTGCTGAATTGCTGCCGTTGAACTTGGAGAAATATGAATATCAAATATTCGTCATTTTTGGAGATGGAGTGCTAGATCCTCTGCAAGTTAAATTCTAATAATTCAAGTAAAGATGGAATCTGAGGCCTGCTTTAAGATAAACATTTAGTGAAATTCAGGGTCCCTTGGCTTTCCTGGGGCTTAGATTTTAGTTGATCTCTGCAAAGGAGTTGCAGAACTGCAGTAATTAAATTAGCTGCGCTCCTTAATGGTCTTTAATTTAAATAATGCTTACACATAGGATATAGCTTTCCCCATTAAAAAGAGAAGTTGCTTTTATTGACAGCTGAAATGATAAAGTACTATGATGTTGCAGAATAGAAAATAGAAAAATTACACAACTTAATGGATTTCCTTTATTTCAAGTTAGTGTATAAAGAATATTATTTAGAAAGTCTAAAAGTAAGAGAAATATTTTATATAAATAAAATAAGGCATTTGACTCAGCTAATGGAGTTTATTTTGTTTTCTAATCGCATAAATCACTGTACATATTATCCCAAAGTATAATGTCAGATTGTATTAACCTGTAACATTCATAGCAAAAATTGTCAGAATATTCAATATTTCTTTGTGAAATTCACTTACCACATTTAATTATTGCAATCATACATTCCATTCCATGTCAGAGCTTGAAAATTCATTATCAAGTCTTGTCATATAGAGTCCATATTTTTATATATGCAACTTTTTTGTTTGTCAGTTAATTAGAAGCATTTGAATTTACCTAAATTGTTCTGCTAATTTATATTAAAGCATCTGCTGTAGGCATAGGTCTTAATTTGGCAATATTATAATTAAACAGCATCACAGGTATTCTACTTGCCTTATATCAGTCTATGACTTTGACCTGATGGATACCATACAGGTTTTTTTGTCTCTCCCAAGTTGGTGCATTTGACTGTAATCCTCCTGTGTCTCTGTTAGCAACTATGACAGTGCAATTTGAAAGAAGTATTTATTTATAGCTTTAATGCTTTTTGTATTGTAGCGGTTAATTTTGGCTTTCTAGGATAAATATCAAAAGCATTTTCGATACCTTATAAAATTAGTGGAATTTCTTCTTTGTGTGTTCAAAATATTTGCCGTCTCGTGAGAGAGAGAGGTGTGTGTGTATATATATATGTATGTAGATTTTCCTTCTTTTACCTGTACTGGAGTGTAAACACCAGCAGGGACCATTTACATTTTTTTTTGTCGAATTCTTCACTGTGTGACTTTGGATTTTTGAAAATTTTTCTGTCAATTAGTTAAATTTTAGATCTGTATTAGATAAGTGTGTCTCTAATAAATCACTGCCATTAAAAGTGCAGGTGTTGAAATCAAGCAAGGGATATTCTAGGCACTGACGTTTTTCTAAGAATAGAAAGTCAGTACATTTTTGTGGTTGCCCCTGACCATTAAGATTGGAGGAAGGTTCTTGGAGAGAATTTCTAGCCAAGCCATATACAGGTAATCAGACACTACTCCTTTTCTTGCCACTGGGAGGCTCCTGTTTAGACAGAGAGAAAAATAAAATTAACATTATGAAGTCAGGGGTAGCCCTGATGACATGCATCTCACTAAATACTAAGTAGAAAACATCAGCTGTCCCTATACAACTCTGAACGTTCGTAATTAGACTACATGACTGTTTTATAAAGCACAAAGCTACCATTAGGCCTTAATCTTGCAAACTCTTGCTCACCTGGTTAGCGCCATTAACATGGCTAGTTGTACTGGACACGGACTGCTTGTGATTGTAGCTTTGAACTGGTAAAGAAGCATTTTTGGGGTCATAAAACCCCCATGTAATATGATTTTTAAAAAGGATAAAAATACAGTACGTGCACAGTTTTGCAGTCCATCAGCTTATTTTCTGATCTGTGACTACTGTGAGATGGGAGTTTTAAAGTATGGGTCAATTTATGGTAAACATTACCTGATCACCCCTTTTTTGGAGACTGAATTAATAGGGCTAAAGAGGTTTATCTACTCTAACTAAAAATTGATTCTGAAAATGGCTTTTTTTTTGGTAATTTTATCGGTGGCCTCTTTTTCTTTATGGAATTGCATCGTCCTTATTCAGTTTCATATAGTTCCAAGTAGATTTTGGCTAACAACTCCATTTGTTGTGTGCAAACCAAAAGAATCCTTTCTCTAACTTTAAGTTGTTAATTGTTGGGGGGAAAAGAAAGGAAAATGTGTATTTTCTGCAGGTGAGTAAGCAAGTGTAACACTCAATATGTAGATTTGGATGTGAAGATTACATTTTTGACACATTTTTATGAGTGGAGCTTTGTTTTAAGCTATGAAGAACTACTAGGAAAGATTCCTATTCAGTGTAGTCCCAGAGAACCATCAGTCCAGATGCAAGTCCTTCAAAAGGTCCTTACTTCACTGAGGGCAAAAATAATCCTTTAACACAAGCGTTTCTGTTGCTCTAGTCCAGAATCCCTTTACACATTAGATTATTCTCTAAGTTAGAACCAAAATCTTGCAACTTACAGGACAATGAGGTTAGCTGCCCTCGAATGCTCTTGTAAGAGTTCATTCAGACGGACTTGGCGGTAACTCTGATTAAAACAAAACGGGGGGAAAAGAAAAAAAAAAATCAGTTAGGTCAGTGATCCTCAGTTCTGGTGCCTTATGGACTTCTACACTACCCATTGCCCACAAGATTTACTGCTGTTGCTTTGGCAGCATTGAAAGCCAGGTCTGCTCTGTGGTCCAGCATGATAGAGATGGCAAAATAGGAGGCTAAGCCATGCTTCTTGATTAGTACAGTTACCTGGGGGGCCGGGGTTGTTCACTGTGTAAGATTTCCTGGGGCTGGAGATTATTTTTGTACTGACGCAGTACCAGAGCTGGCTCAGACATAGTTTTTAAGTATTTCTTTGGCTATGAAGTATAGCTGTTCGGGAACTGTGCAGAGACTCTTTTGTGCTGTTGTTTGATGGCGGTTAATATAGCAACTCATCTGTTTTGTAAGTCTCCAGCTGCCATGCTGGTAGGGCTGAACGTCGGTGTGTCAATGAACACCTTGCCAGAAGTTCACCTCTTAAACAAAAGACCAGGAGTCTGGAGTAAGACTTAGCTGCTTTGTGTTGTGTATTTGTGTGGACTTTTACAGATTGCGTAAATGGCTGTTACCTTGAGATTCAGCCAAGATTACTTCACGATCAGGCTCAGGCCCTCAAAGTTTTTATAACTTAACACAAGTCATAGGGAACAAGAGACCAGGGCAGGTTTGTGTACAGGGAGATTGCAGCATGGGAGATGGATGTATCTTCACTGGTCTTATAAATTATTCTCTCTTTCTCTGGAGAAGGTAAAAAGCTGTTTTTTCTGCATTCAGACCTTAAATTTTCCTTCTCTACAGAAATTTTGCTGTTCTTTTACACATGTTATATAAGTAAGAATCCTCATAATTTAGCCAGTTGTTATCTCATGAGAATCATCCTATAACATCACTCTTTATCTGTGCTGCCAGGTTTTTCTCTCTTGAATTTTAAATGTGTTCTAATGTCTTCCATAAAGTTCCCAGAACTGCCTTACTTCTGAAGATAAGGGGCATGTCTTTCCAGGTGTGTAAGCTGAATTTTTGTTGCTGTTCTCAATTTATAGAGAGATTTGGCATTTTCATAGTGCTGACTGCTTTCAAGCTGTAGGGTTTTTTCCTGGTTCTTTAGTTAGTGACCTAGACAAGACCAAGCTTAATCACGCATTTTTTTTCCTGTTGTATCCTCACTGGTTCTGCACACAAGTGTGTATATCTGGGATTATCTTGCCGTTGTCTTTTATACTGAGATGTTCTAAGGGCTCTGACTCCCATGTTTTGATGATTTATGCTGAGAGCACTTCAGAAGTTTTCTGCCCACAGCTGACTACCATAACTTTATGCTGGTTATCAAATCTACGAAAAGGGTAATACAGTGAGCAGTCAGTCTGCTTCCCAGCTGCTGCAATCGGTAGTATAGTGTGTTATCTTAAATCACCATTGATTTCAGCTTATGTTAATATGTCAGGCTGTGACCTCCAGCGGCTCTGAGCTCAGACTCGCAATCCTTGCTCCGCTGAGGAAGATACCAGCACCATAAAGTGGAGATAACTAAACTCTCAGTGCACTCAGGTTAATCCAACAGGAACCATAAATAAAATTGCTAGATTAATTCTCAGAGAGTTACAGAAGAACTTGTCTCTCAAGGGTGGAAGAGTTTGCAGTATCCTTTCGGCACTGGCCTGATGAAGCCTGGCGGTTCATTGCTAAGAAGGTATGTTCCAACAAGATTAAAGAGCAGCCCAGGCTCTAATTCACCCAGTGGATCAGGCAATGTCAGCCTTAGAGTGCCTCTGAACTGTGGGGGAGCTCCTGTGTTGTAGGCAGGTTTAGTCTTCACGCTGCCATTGAGGTAAGAATCCATGTTAAATCTTGCCTTTGGAAAAATTCCTAGAGCCGGTTGTAGGGTCTGGATTCAGTTCTAAACTTCCCAAAGCAGTGAATGTTTGGAACTGCACTCTTTAAGAGGCTCAAGCTCTAAAACAGTGGAGCCATTTAATAAACCTCTCAGCAGATCTTACTAGCCCGGGCTCAGCACAGTACTGTGTGGCTTCTGGTTCAGAGGTGGTTTTCATCTGGCTGGCTCTGATGTGGGCAGAGCTTCTCCTCAGCCTGGAAAATACTGTGTAAACGTGCCAAGGTCTTACAGAGTGCTGAATAATGCAATCGCAACACACCTCTGCAGTGTTTACAATATAAATCCAATCTGTAAATATCAAATACAGGTTTGTGCACGTCATGTTTCTAATTCCATATCTGGTATTTCACATTTTCTTACTAGTTGCTTCAAACATCTGGAGTGTAAGAAAAGGTACAGATGTAAAAAGGTAGGCAAGGCTTTACCTTCTCCTTGAATGCTTCCAGCTCTGCATCTGTAATTTTCCATGGAGTCTCTCGCTTTAATTTCTCAGCAGTTGTTATATCTTTGCAGCTTTCATGGAGGCGATATGGCTCAATCATCTCTTCAAAGAATTTCCAGCTGAAACAGGAATTACAAAGGAGGCCTTGCTGCAGGGTATGAACTCGCTAACTTATTCCACAGACACTGTGTATGGCAGGCCCCGCTGCCTATAATTGTAGCTGAAAAACACGCAAAATCTTTAACCGTTCTTTGCGACATTGTGCCCCAAGTTGTATCTGTGCCACTTCAATATGTTGGGGTTATTTGAGGATAATTAAAACGTTATTTGAGGATAATTAAACACTGCATTTGGCCTATTATCGTTGCAGAGAATTTTCTGTATTTTCCTGGCTGTAGCAAAAATACTGAAGTGAGTTCTACAGTAACTCCAAACAGCAGTATGTTGGTTACTAATGTTAACAATGACTATGGGTCTCCTCATAAATACTGAGCTGCTGTTATTGTTTTAGCATTAACTGGAGCAATCACCCGACTGATAGTTGTACTGTCACAGTTTTAATGAAATGGAGAAACAGGTGATCTAAATCTCCTGTAGCAAGGGGCTGAAGGAAATGCTGTAGGTTTTTTGCTATATGGGGGCTCACATTCGTGTTCGTTTCCCAACTTTTCCACAGATTTTCTCTCTAAATTTCAATTTGTTTCTTGAAGCTTTTGACTGTCATCATCTGGAGAAGCTTATCATCCTTCTGTACTTCCCTGCTTGCCCCTTTGTTGAAAGTCTCTATCATCTCACAGAGACCTCAGGGAGTGTCTTTAATATAAATGTAAGTGTGTTTCTAGGAACACTTTACGCTGAGAGGCCTCAGTGTGAAGTGAAACGGGAGGCTGGGCACAGGTTGGACTTTGCTATATGGCCGGGAAGTCAAGAGATGGGTTAAAGGCCGTGACGTGCAGCATTTAATGTTGCTGTTGCTAAGCTGGCAGAGAGTTTGTCAACATCCTTAGTGTCTGTTTCAGTATGTAAAATAGTGATAATCCTCTTATTATTAGTGAAATAAATGGGATGCCAGCTGGGAGAGAGATACAGTGGTCTAGCAAGTGTCTGGCACTATATTCACTTGTTCTGTTCAGATAGTGCTGATGCAGCAAATGTGTTTGATTTTTATGTTAACGCCAGATATGAATTCTTTTTGATAGCTTTTATTTACATAAAATCACTGCATAGTACTGGAAAAAAGAGAAGTATTTTGCACAGTTCTTTATATAATTAAAAAATATTAACTGAGAGATCAAGAGGGCACTAATAAGTGACTTCAGGTATCTAGTAATAAAATCTTTATATTCCTTAATTGCATTTCCTAAGTCAAAATCTCCAAGGCACTGTAGAAACACTGGTGAATCTAATACTGTTTTTGCAAAGTTGTGTGTGTGTGTAGAAGCGGGACACAGGAGGATTAAGAGACTAACCTGAGATTGCACTTGAGCTCAGAGGAAAGGCTTTGGGTGGAGAAGAGGAGCCCTTTGACTATGAAATAGCTATGGACCTATCAAGAGGGGAGGAAGGGTTGGGATGGAAGAGAGCACAGCAAGGTGAGAACATTTTCAGAGGATCTTTAAGATCAAGAGCAATATTGTGAATTGAGTTAGGATTCAGTTATTCCCTGACCAACCTGCTATATGCTTTTGTTTACATAAAGCAGAAGAAATAGGTGATTTCTATAGAGAGATGTTTTTAGAAAGCAAGGACTTGAAGAATTTTTTTTTTTTGTTAATACAGTTGGAGGTGGAGCTTCCTGAGCACTGTTTTACCAACTTCCTAACCCCTGCCTAAGAGCGTTACTTTTTAAAAACATTGAATCTTCATTATATTTGAGTGATAGGGGAGTATTATAATATTGTCCTCATGGGAGAGGAGAAGTACGCTTATGTTTGGCCAGAAAAATGTTAAGTTTATGAATTCATGGTAAAACCCAGAAGGCTGAGTTGGCAGAGATGGTGAGTTTCCAAGAGAACTGTGACTGACTGATTAATATGATGAAGTGAAGTCTATTGCAATGTAAATAGATACGAAAAGCCATCATAAAATGCCTGTTAAATTTAGTGGCTCGTAAGTATGGTGTCTCATTAGTCTTTATTAAAACTAAGTCTTATGATTACAACATAAAGAAAAGGGCTGCCTATAGTTTTGACCCTTTGAGTTGTGATTGTTAAAAGGTTCTTTTCTTTTTCCTGCTCTAGGTACTTGGAAAATGATTGCAATAAAGTGACAGTGTTATTCTTTGTGGTGTGTTTTGGTTTTTTTAATGTTCAACATAAAAGAAACAAGCTCTTGATAAAGGCCTGCTGCTAAATAATGGATTTTGGTAATGTTTCTTACCTCTCTTTGTTGGGCTTTATATTGATATCACAAATGATATTAATATCAGCGAATTTTATTCTGAATTTGCTTAGAAGCGAAGCCATCCTGAAAACAAAAGAGAGAACATTTTATCACTATATTTCTGAGTGCCTTGCATCAAAGAGCTCTCATAAATGAGTTAAGATATCAAACGCAGTTGTCTCATTATCTTTAACTATATGACAAATTACTTTAAATGCTTTAGTGTTTCAGTTTCCAATTACAGAACTGGATTGATGTGATTGCTGTAGTATAATTCATTTAACTGATGATCGATGAAAATCACAAAAAATAGAAATGAATAGCAGACAGAGGGAAGGGTGTTTACATTTTGGGAAAAAATGGTACTTTTAAATATTTGCAAAGGCTTGAATTATAAAGGAAAAATATTCAAAATACAGTAGGACAGAATTCTCCAATACTTAGAAAAGGCTTCTGTTATTCTATTATTATCAGAATTCTGTGCGTGGAGTATGTACAACACTGGTAGTGTATGTGTTGGTGAAAATATGGTCCGGAAGGTTGATAGGCAATACTCAAAGAATCTTTTCCATTTATGAATTTATATTGATCTACTCACATGTTTCTTTACATGTTTCATAAAAGAAAATACTTCGTTTTTCTGCCCCAATGGGCAGGAGGAATAGTTTATAGCTTTGTGTGTGTTTGTGCTGAGGTTAGAGAGGTTTAGTTAGGTCAGTTTTGCCTTTGGTTGAAGCATGGTTGGGAACTTGTATCTTAGTTTGTTTTCCTCTTTTTTTGGGGTGGGGGTTGTTTGGGGGTTTTTTTGGTATATAAGCTCTGGAATTTGTAAAGGTCAGAAAGTTCCTCGGAGCAAACCATGATAGAAATACGTATTTGCTTATGACCTGAGAATTTACTTGTTCTTTTTTTATATAATAAGAACACACTGCTTGTATAAATCTTGATGTCCCTTGGGGCAATCCTTGTTTTGAACACCAAAAAGAGCAAAGTCTCAACTTCTGTGGAAAGGTTTTAATATTTGGGGAACTACACATTAGCAAAAGTCCAGATAAATTTAATTTCTGACTTGGAAATACAACGGATGAAATTGTACTTGGATGTTGTTGTATTTGATCTACCTAGGGAATGGAATAGCCACCTGGCCTCTGGATTTGTCTCTCTGAAGGCTTCTGTGTGTGGTGGGTATTATGCTGTTGAGGAAAGCTAGTGTTTAGGTAGAAATACATACACATACTGTTTTCTTGGAGACAAACTAGGCCATTGTCAACTGTACTGACCGTGCTGTTCACTCTGGCTTTTGTAGGACAAGCAGTGTATACAGGTGCCAGAACTGCCTCTGTGAAGATCTGTCATATTTTGACAAATCCCACCTGATGTCAAAACTTCCTGCTTCCTCTCAACGAGATTTGGAGACTTGAGTGCCGAGATCCAGGAGCCGGTTGCGGTCCTGAACAGCCAAGCTTGGGCAGACTCTGGCCAGGGAGCAGAGAACGCTTCCCTGCAGGTCCTTGAGCAGCTGTAAGGCTTTTTTTTTTTTCACCCAATGATAAGAACAGTTTGTACAAACACTTGTGAATCTCTTCTACGGAAGTATGTTAACTTTGGGGTAATCCTGACAACTGACAGAACCACAGTGGAGTAAAGTTTGCTTTATGTGAAAGCAAAAGCTTAAGGGAGCATCCCTGTGGCAGCTGTCTTTTGGAGGCACTGTCTCATGATCCTAGTGATGCTGGCTAAATTCTAACTCCTGTCCTTGCATCAGTCTTGCTTGTTTTCCACTGGAGTCTTGCTTGGATATGTTGTTTTTAACTCACTACATGGTTGCTGCTGCTCTTTGTTAAGCAGTTACTGACTTCCATCCCAAAATGGCCTGCTTCCACCAGTGATGAAATGGCTGTGCCTCTAGTGTGTAAAGTGTTTTGGAAGGAAAGGTCCTATATACGGCGATGGTGAAAATAAGTTTATATTAGTACCTTTCATTTGCTTGAAGGTGAATGATGATTATGAAATCTAGACTTTTTTTTAAAAAGCTAAGTCAAACCAACTTTGTCTTAAAGTTCATTAACTTGCTCTTTACCTTCTTTGCATTTTACCATTTTACGGTTCATCACATTTATGTGAGCTGTCTATGGTATTTGCATATGAGAAGCTTCATGTGCAATTTCACTTACTGTTAACTGGACAATCTCTTGTAAATCCCATAAAACTGATTATATTCTCATTACGGAGTGCAGACCGCTCTT